ATGCTCGCTGACAACATGCCTTGCCAGTGCATCAGTGGTTGGCAAAAACCTTGTCATTATCATAATGATCTGACAGGGGGCTATGGATGGTAAAAGCGTGGAAGGTGAAGACATTGTTTTATAAAATCTAATTTTAAGTACTTTTAAGTTTTTCAAGCATCTGTATAAATCCTGGAAATGTCATAATCTAAGTAGAGACAACAACCTAGTAAATGAGACTCTCTCCTCTTCAAACCTGGAAACATCATAATCTAATTAGAGACAATGATCTAGTAAATTAAATTCCCACCTCTTGAAACCCTGGAAATGTTATAATCTAATTAAGAGACAATGATCTAATAAATGTCTTGAGGAACAACTTATTTTGAATTATTTACTCACTTGATTTCAACACCTGCAACCCCAAAGTAAATATTTATATTTTAATTATTATTCAAAAGGAATTGCTGCAAACCTTTTCACGAGTTTAAAAAGATATGATTTGTTTACAGGCTCATTGGAAGTTCTAGGTCAAAATATTAGTTAATATCCAATAGCAAATTAAATTTTCTTAACACACTCCGGACTAATCAAGTTAACATTATTCAAATTTATAATTGTCTTTTTTCATTAATTAAGCTTGGAACTTATAGAAAAATAGTTTTCATAACTAAAAACAAACTATTCAGATAATCAATTCCTTTCTTAGTGGTTACTTTACTTGAGCAAGTAACAATCAATCTTGTAGTGAACAAGTAAGTGCACTGAGAACCAATGTGATACGGATCAGAGTTAAATGTTCTAAATTTATTTCAAAATAGGAATTTTTCTCTCTGAGACAATTTCTAAAAATTAAGACAAGGATAACCTTTTTATCATTGTTGCCCAAGTGTTTGACTGCTCGTGAAACCATATCTTGTGGGAACCCCATGTCACAAATAGTGTCCACAAGGTACTTTTCCTCAGCCCTCAGCTCTCCATATGGATTTGGTAATTGAAAATCTTCAGAAAAGGCACTTGCTTTACTATTAATGGTGGTCAATTCACAGAGATTCTTGGTAGTGTTTACAGTCTCAGAGTTATTGTTAACAGGAACATTTTTACTCCATTGTATCTGTGGGAAAACAGGTCAATATATTTTATATGTTAATTCTGGACCAAACATTTTCATTCATAGCTTAAATAAATATTTTGCACGGCACTTTCTTGGAAGCTTATTCCTTGAATAAATGAACCTTAAGCCTGAACAGTACACTGAATCTGTTGTTTGGAGTGGAGGCTTTTGCATTTGTTTGTTTTTGTTAAGCAAAAGTTACACAATGGGCTGTCTGTGCTGAGCCCACCATTGGTACTGACACCCAGTTTTGAGTGTTATAAGCCTTTAGACATAATGCTGAGACACTGAGGGGGGGGGGGTAATACAAGCATTATTTTTTAAAGAAACAAAACTTTTTCAATGCCATTTTTTATGTATCTTTAATTCCTGTAATTATATTTAATTCAAAGTAATTAAGTAAACACATGAGTACTTTATGGCAATATAAGAAAACATTATTAACTGAAATTCAAAGTTATATATTTGTAAAGGTGTGACATTATTACATTCAAAATTATAGAAATGTGTGAGACTAATATGAACAACTCACATTCTGATGTTAGTTTCCTCCAAATTAACAAACGTGAAAAAAATTCTTACACTTATCCGTTGTTGCTAGTTTTCCTCTGATACAAAGTTCCATCTCTCACTGATCCATTCTACTGTTTAACTGACTTTTAATTCCACTTGGTGATTAGATTTAGTTAACCCAAAAATATATGAATAAACACTCTAGCAAGGTAGTTCAACAGCTTTGAACAGTAACAGTGAGTCTTTTAAATAAAATTTTCAGTGAAACAAAAACTAAAATACAGTATACATTAAAAGCAAATTTCCAAAACATAATACACCTGTTAATGGTTGTCAGTAAAATTTTAAGGTACAAACACAGGATAGTTTTACTTAAATCAATCAAATGAAACCGAAATATGAATATACAATGTATGAAAATGACAAAAAATATGTTTTTGAGATACATTGTTTTGTCTATTTTAATAAATAAATGCATGCTGTTTTAAATCTACTTTGCATCTATAACAATAAAAATTTTGCACCAAAGAAAAGTTAATTGTAACTTCACGACTCATGTTTTTATCTAAGTATACACGACTCATGTATCTACCTATACACACAAGTTTTTACATAATACACCTGTCACATGGGAATCTAGGAAACTAAATATATAAAATCAATGTTGTGATGAATACAAAGGTAGAAAAAAGTTAAGATATATCCCTCTAAATACATGCAAAAAATTACCATCTATAGTTGTGTACAAATAAATCTTCTTAAAATTCAAGTGTTTCAGTACACACTATTAGTAAACTATCAGTTACTCAGTATAAAGAATTAAGTTATTCTAGTCGTTCGGCATATAGAAGTAAGTTATTCTAGTCGTTCAGCGTATAGAATTAAGTTATTCTAGTCGTTCAGCGTATAGAATTAAGTTATTCTAGTCGTTCAGCATATAGAATTAAGTTATTCTAGTCGTTCAGCATATAGAATTAAGTTATTCTAGTCGTTCAGCATATAGAATTAAGTTATTCTAGTTGTTCAGCATATAGAATTAAGTTATTCTAGTTCGTTCAGCATATAGAATTAAGTTATTCTAGTCGTTCGGCATATAGAATTAAGTTATTCTAGTCGTTCGGCATATAGAATTAAGTTATTCTAGTCGTTCGGCATATAGAAGTAAGTTATTCTAGTCGTTCAGCATATAGAATTAAGTTATTCAATCACATTACCCATCATTCCAAAATAAAGTAGGCTCATGCATTTTAATTACTCTTGATAAGTGAGGGTTATTGTAATTTTATATCTTTAAGTTTTCTTTAACTAAGTCATTATACATAGTCCAATCTAACACACTTGATAAACTTTGAGTAACATACACAGATGTACATACAAGAAATACTTGAACTTGAATACTGAAATCACACAACATTCAGAAAGAGCAATTGACACACAAATACGATTATTAAAAATAAACATTTAGTTTGTCTGCAAAATTCTTATCATTTAGATATGTATTTTAAAATATTTTAAATGTTGTTAACAAGCTACAAGTACTTCACCCTAAATCACAACACTAAGTTTAAAACTGACAACAAACAAGCACCCTTAACTATTGTAGAAACAGTTCTCCAGATAATTGTTTTCTGTAAGGCGTAATCACTCCCAGAATTCTGTCAGTGAGCTAATTATGAATTATTTTGCTATTTCAAAATGTGAAATTTGGCACAGGATTAATTGAGCAAATTAATTCATCAGATAATGATACAAATAATGACATTACAGCTATATCTTATTTTTTTACACAAAACTGGATCATTAACAAGTGCACCTATAGATACTTATGGTGGTTAGACAGGTGTTTATTTTTGCAGCTCTACTGTGTGAACTACACAGATCTTGTGCTAAACTACAGAAAGCTAAAAGAAGGCACCCATTAATAACTGTACCACTATTAAAATGACAAGAACCATATTCATTTTCCCACAGCAGTATAATAACTTCTCAACATTTTTTTAAGTCCATATATGGATGATTTTTGATCGGGAATTATGCTGGTACACCCTTTATCTGGAGCACTATAGACAGAAGTGAGACTTCCTGAAGTCATAATTTTCCTATAGTGAAAATGTATTTCTAATAGATACTTACACCCACTCACACTTCCCACCCTTCTTCCCCACTTCTCCCGTGCTCACACCTTCTGCCTAACTTCGAAGTTAAGGTTTCGTAGAGGAGTATAGAGGGAGTCACATGAGCATGTTATGCTACTATTGTTTAAGAGATGACACATAATGATTTGCATGAGAGACATGTTGGAATATAGTAATTCCAACAAGGGGAGAGTGCAAGGCTTGTGGCATGCATAAAAAAGTTTGCATACAGAGGGCAGCACTGAATGGGAATAGCTAATCTGATATGGCACAGATCAGTAATAACTGGTGTTAATATCCAAATCATCAAACGATTGACATGGTAACCAATCTTTGCATGTACATTATTCTATTCACACATACAACACATTTTTTAACAACAGGTTACTCACTTGAGCACCAGCAGTGCTAACGGCTCGAGGTCGTGGTGGTGGTGTCACAGACCGTATAGATACCTCATTGATATTTTCATATTCAAGAATATCAGACAGTGTTCGCAGATCAGAAGTACTTTTTGAGCTTTTAAGTCTTAAATGCTCACTTAATGACGAGCCTGGATGAGAAGAAATACTGGGTTCCACTAGATGTTTAGAAAACGTGTTACTAGACTCCTCACTAACCGAGACTGATCTTCCAGTATGATTATACAGAACTCCTGGAAGGTAAGATCCTTGTGGACAAGTACTTTTAGATTTAATAACCTGGGAATTTGGTGAAAATCTAACACTGCTGTAAGAGCCTTCAAGTGAATCTGGAGTCTTTATAAATGGATACGAATTCACTGGAGCACCAGTATTATTATAGAGTGAAATGGAGACTTCCCCTTCAAGTGGTATGGATGAATTTGAATCGACCCTATTAGTAGTTAAAGCAGCAGCCTGGTACAGTGAGCTACCAGTTACAGATCCATAAGAGTTTGATACAAATTGATGTCCATAGTTCACAGGAGCACCATTAACAAACTGAGAAGCACTAGAAACTGAACTATAGAGAGGAGATGCTGAGGTTACTGCAGCTTCTGGTCCAGGTTGACTAGGTACTCCTCCTCCAGCCATACCTTGAAATACTGTATTTAATTCTTCTAGCTCATTAATGCTCTTCAGTTCCATGTAGTCAAAAGGACTGAAGTCATCACTTTCAAAATCCGCTAAGTTAAGCCTCTTTGATTGGTTATTATTGCTCTCTATGGGTTTGTTTTCTAATGCTTCTGGTGGCAAAAGTCGCTGAGGTTGCAGTATTGATGCAGGTTCAAATATGTTACCGATTGGACTTTGCTGGGAAACATTACCTTCAGCATATCTACCTTGATAAAAAATTTTATTAGGAGAGCTACAAGCATTGACTGAATATCTGATTTGAGATGGGTCAGATTTTTCTGGACATTCACACCCATTCTCTTGGTTTTCTTGGACTGCTTGGTCAGTTTCACTGTTACTCTGAACCATTGCAATGCTTTTGGTAAATTGTTCAATCTCAGAGGCAATCTTTTGAGTCTTGGCTTTTTCGGCAACTTCTTTTTCTAGTTTGCATTTTTCTGCATGCTCTATGACTTGTTTCTCAAGATTAAAATCATACTGAAAAAATAAAACAAAAAACAATGTCAAATGCAATAGATCCTGGATTCATGATGCTATTATTATTTTAACCAAAAGCATAAAAATAGATATTGTTTAATCATTCAGTCAAGTTTTTACCAAGAAATATCAGATGCAGAGTTCTGCATTATTCTTTGATTAGAAAATAAATATATTTGAAAAACAAGAACTATTACTTTTTCAAAGGAAATAGTTTAAATAGATTGTACAGGAACATGAACTAAAATATGAAAATAAGTTTATGTTAAATGGGTTATTTTGGATTATTTCAATCAGAAAAAGAATGCAAAGTCCAGTTGATTTAATAATAGCAAAAACATTTTATTTCTTAGACTGCAAGTTCTACAAATTTCATATACTAACCTAACATTAAGTGAGTGACGGGCCTAATTAATAAATAACATTAAACAGTCAATTACTTGCAACTTTTCTCATATCTAAGGTATTTTTCATATAGTTAGCACTTCATTGAGGCACAAACTCAATATTTACAAAACTAAACTGGCTGACAGTAACAAATGCACTGACTAACAAGCTCAAGAACTCAGTAATAAATCCTCTGTAACACTCAGAAGTCAATCATCTCTAGCCTAAATCAGTTATTATAATGATTAAATCAGTTTATAAACTTTGAAAAAATGTTTATGTAATAAGCCATGCTCTTTTACTCTTAGTCAAAACTGCCTGAGGTACAACAATACAAAAGTCTAAATTAAAAAAAAAGCCTACAATACTAATTATATTTAAACATACTAAATGTGTGTATAATTACACACACATACAGTAGACTACTTACACACTATAGTTAAAAAGTTTAAAATTTCGGCAACTGTCAATTTTTCATCCCTAACTTATAAGATTTATTGACAAAAGATTTTTATTCATCTCCCCATCTTTTACTCTTTTTCTTAAACAAAGTTTTGATAATTTACTCAATATTATAACTTTTATACTTATCTTCCTGTACTAAACTTGTAGAAGTGGCTATTATATTTTTACTCAAATTGAAGTATTGTTCAAAATAAATTACTGTATGGTTCTGTTAAAAAAAAAAAAATTACCAGTATTGACAATATAATTGATAGGCAGGATTAGTCAGGTATATCAAATAATCCTTCAAACTTTAATATGCTCTACTAACACAATACATACATCTTCTTCAAGAACATTTAACGAGAAAGAGGAGTGAAAACTTAAAGGCAGAGTCACTTTTCTTGGTGGTCGAAACTTTTCTCCAACTTTAACTGGAACTCCCTCTAAATACCCTATAACTGCAAAGAAATAAATACATTCATGAAGTCAGTGTTAATAGGACATATAAAAATTCTAAATAGTTGTTGATACTTCTCAAAGATTGGAATAAAGTAACATATTACTAAAAGTATAGAAAAACAGTCTAATATTTGCCTACCTAACTGCATATGGGGCACTTACTTATCATTTATGATTTGAAACATGCAAGAAAACACGCAATATTCTTAGCATTAGTATCTTAGTGCTTCGAAATCTGATTAAAGTAACATAACACATTTTATATTTTTTTCATCGAAGAATATACATGAATAATTTTACTTTTTTATGATTGATGTAACACAATTTACAAATCAATCCTTAGAAAAAAAAGAGCTCAAAATTTTCCATCTTCTGATCTGTAGTTATTTTCGGTGCAATCAAGATGCTCCCCAGAACTATTGACATAGTTACTGTTTGAGAGAAACGGCTGGCAATAACAATTCTCTCAACCAGTAACTGAAGAGTTATTGCGGACAACATTAATAAAAACTTGCAGATTATCCCCATAAAGGTTTCAGCAGAGTCGTGTTCACAGACATATTGTGCATAATTGATGAAAGTATTGAAAACTGTCTATTTCAGCATTCTTAACTCAACTTTCAGAATAAAGCTATACATTTATTATCTTACTAAATTCACTATCTTTACGTTACTCTTAGCCCTATAGACATGATTTTCAGATGAAAAAACCGAAATTTTATAACTTTAATATAACCTTTCTTCTTCTTCTCAACAAAGTTTTAATTACTAATATGAAATGAAATGCTACAAAATTATATTTGATTAATTAACCTAAAAAACTAATTACTATATCCAGCTTTTCAAACCAGTAGACTTATCAAATGCAAACGATGCAAGTCATTTTAATACAATATCAAGAAAACTCAATGTATTTTAATGAGTTATTAAATGTTGAAAATAACTTGTGCATTAAAATCAGTAATTACCTAATGAATTCAAGTTCCTACAATATGTAAGTTATGGTTAGCATTAAAAACCAAACTCACCTTCTTTTCTGTCATATGCCATGAGTGATGTCAAGAAATAACTTGTTTCCAAGAAGTACCTTAAGGAGCAGGTGATCCTTCTATTCTGTTGACATAACTTCTACAGCTAATAACGTACACCATAAGAAAAATAAAATTGCTATAAAGTAAACTTTAAAAGAATATGTAGCAATGCACAGTAAGTTTATGAAATAACCACTACATAAGTAGCAAATGTTAAGATTTTCTTACACTGAAAATGTATTTCCAATAGGTACTTACCTCCATTCACACAAAGCCATCTCAATCTTCTTTCTGCCCCCTAAGCATTGTTAAAAAATGTTAATGTTCAGTGCACCAGTCTATATACCCCACAAATTTCACACCACTTTTGAATATGTATAAAGCATGTGAACACCCTCCACCAATAGTACTGCGCGACCTGTATTAGCGAAGCTAGCTGCCTCTGATTCTCCGGCTCAATCCCCCACTTTCGAGAGTTGGTAGGATCTACAATGTAGTGGGGAGGAAGGATGGAAAGTAAATACATTTTCAGTGTAAAAAAAATGTTAACTTCTGATAGTCTCACCACCTCTCACACAAAGCTAGAATCCTACATTAAAAAGGTGGATGGGTTGGTGTAGGTGCCCAATAGTGAAACAAAGTGGAAAGTGACCATCAAAAAATAACTGGCGTGCTAAAAGATGAAACAAAAGCACAAATGCGAGGAACAGTACTACTTCTGGAACAGGTATGCTCTTGCCCCGTAAGAAGGAAATTAATCTAAAATGGGTAGGGAAAAAAAAGGACAAGCACAAGCATAATTCGTTCTTAGAGGTGCAATCTATAGTAACAGACAAACTTAGAAATCTAGCTCCCTGTCAACTAAGTCCCGTACCTCCTCAGATAAAGTCGAACCCAATGTGTGGGTAGTTGTACCAGAAGCATCGTTTACTATAATGGGAACTTCCATTGTCGATACATCGAGTCACAAAGTCATCCTAAGTTACCATATAATCGGTAACAATAAACAAATGCAATAAAAAATAATTTAACAATTGAATGCAAACACAGTAAAGAAAACTGTTGAAAAAAGGTATTGAAATGCCAATGAAGTACAATAGTAAATGGTAGTCACATATGAAAAAACACGCATCTAATGCTGTGCCAATCATGAATGTGAAGATTGAGCGGCAGAATCAGAGGGAGCTTGCTGCGCCAATATGGGTGGCACAATACTATTTGTGAAGGGTGCTCACATGCTATATACATGTTCAAAGTGGTATGAAATTTGTGGGGTATATGGAAAAGTGAGCTGAGTGTTAAAAATTTTTGGCAATGCTTAGGTGGCAGAAAGAAGACCAAGATAGCTTTGTGTGAAAGGAGATAAGATGTATCAGAAACAACTAGTAAACATCGTCACTGGTGTTTCATTGTAAAACACCAAAAAGATATGATCTACATCAATTATTAAAACAATTCAATAGTAAAAGCCCAGAGGTTACACATTTAATAATTAAAGTATTTTAATGGATACAAATAATAACATAACAGCCACAGGTGATCTCATTGAAGTATCTAAACTAAGGGAATTAATAAGTTTGATGAATCATATTTTTTTATGTTAAATTTCAAGGACAGTAGAACAAGAAACCATGAATCTAAGACTTGGATATATCAGACATATCCCTGAGTGGAAGTAGCTTTAAATTTCTAATAGGATGGTAAACCGATGAGGAAAAAAACTGCCATATAGAGTTGTACATGTTACATATTTATAGAAATTTAAGAAAAGGACTGGTGAATAGTTGGGGGATCAGGACTGAGTTTAACAATTAGTTTTCTATTTTGTAAGGGATGATTGAAGTTAGAAAATCCTTGATGGGACAAAAGTCACCTTAATGCCAAAAATTACATGACTTGATAAAACAAAAGCTAACTACTGAAAAGATGTCATCCTCAAAAGATGCCTAGTTTTTCATTAAGTTTCTATCAAACTCATTCCATACAGTTTTCATCAAAAAGAAAAGAACAAGCAGAGCATTGGATAACAAAATAAATGTTACCATAAATAGAGCAAAAGGAACACCTACTGTATAGATTTCCAAACTTTCTCAGCATCAGACCCCCCCAAGAACATTTCACATTCTGATTGAATATCTCACCCTTCAGTTTGGGAACCCCTGCCCTATTGTACTGAAGGCTTTCCATTGAATACAGTACACAAACATAAAAACAAAGTTTTGGGCTAGACTATGCATATATGTGAAAAATTATATACAAACTTATGTTAATTAATCCTGAAAATATAATGGATAACGTCAAATATAAATCAAATTTTCAATTACAGTTTCATGAATAATATTATTTTAAGGTTTGGTTTATGTAGAAACACTAAAATATAAAAAGAAATTAGGCTAACCCAATTGTCACACAAAGAAATTTCATGACACGCTATTACACTGCGTTTTACTTTGAATACTTTTCGAAATAGACTATTATTATGGAAACAAACTACTCGGGAAGAATCATTTGGTTAACCAATTAAACATACAGAATATTATTAAGCAAACTAACCTGACTAGGGAATCAGCTGGAAACTTCTGATTCAAACTATGATGTTATGAAAATCTGTAGAGTTAAACATGTTACTACTGGCTACGGTATATGAGGTTGTTACATAACCTTACACATCAAATTAATAAGATGTAAAAAAATGTGTTTAAAAATTCTTTCACTTATTTCTATTAAAAATTTCAAACAACATCTCTAAATACAAGCAACAAGTGTACGATTGCAGCTTGAAATCCTCACAATGATTAAAATGGTATAAATCTGAATCAGACCTCCATTTTAATCAGAGCACGATGTTACTGGTACATTAAATCATTTTGCTGAACCGCCAAATACTTCAAATAAAAAACTTTAACTTGTAGTCAATCTAATCTATCAAATATTAGATGTTTACATTTCTACATATATAATATTTGCATCACTACTAAAATTAATAGAAAAACAATCAAAATACTTTTTACTTAGTTATTTATTAATATCAGAGTACAACAATTTATAAGGTTCAAGCTTTTTTTTTAAAGAAAGATTTATGTATATAAATAATATCACCTGCGTTAACTTAAGGTCTTTTTAACAAAATAAATTGTGAGAAAGCCAAGTGAGGTCATTTGGACAAGAAGGTTTCATCTAATTCTGAAAAATAGACCAGGTATCATTCTAACTATACACAACTTATTTTCCAATCTTCAAGAAATGTGGATAACAGTACAAGTAATTTCATCGAGGTAATTGTTATAAAATCTATATCTCTAAAAGTGAAGTCGTTCTATCTACAAACGAGTTTAGTTTAGAGAAGTGTTTCCTAAGATTTTACTTTTTAGGTATTCCTTTACTAGGAAAGTTACTCTTTACTCTGTATCACTTGAGAATCATGAGCATTTCCTACAGATAACATGTCAAGCCATCAACTATTTTGGTCTCTAGAATAAAATCGTGGTATTTTTACACTCCAGAAAAAAAAAACACAAACAAATGCAATTGTTTAAACTTCTCAGTTATCATTACAACACTTTTTTTAGACTTCTTTTAGTCCCAAACCCAACAGATGAGTGATCTCCTTACAACAGAGAGAGACCAAAAGCTGAAAATAGCATTCCAAGCATGATTTCATCAGTCTCACAGAGTGCCAATAACACTCCAATGTCTAAAATCCAAACTTTCACCGACAAGTTCTAGTTTCTAGTCAACTCCAACCACAAAATCCTCAGAACACTCTCAACAATCACATCCAGGTATCTCCTCTTTCCTACAGTAGGGAGGTTTACCTCTAATCTTCCAAATTCTACAGGGCCAAACAACATTGAAATACTTTTTTCACATTCCACTATCTTAGTATGGAACAATAATGATTTACATACTTAAGATAGTGTAAACACAGGTTAGCATAAAAAATCATGTTAAATGTCTTATTACGTTTACTTCAGTCAAACACAATGACACTTGGCTTGAAAGATGAAGTAGGAAATTAATTAGATATCAAAAACATTTCATATCAATTTTTGTAGGGAAGGAAAATTTATTTTTCTTTTTTCCCAGTGTAAAATAACACAAATCTTCATAGTTATTGCATACTTTCCTCAATGAAACCAATTTTTGTATTCTATTTATAAGAAGGTTCCTCTAAAAATGTGACTTAAAGTACTTAGCCTTGCCTTACTCATATATATATATCATTAACTTTAAGGCAACATTTTTACAATGGGAAAACTCCATTATATGTATCTATTTTAAATGACATTTTAGTAAAAATCTTCATTAAAAAAAATAACTAAAAACTGGGTTCATAAGGTGAAGTATTCAAAATCTTGAACAAGTAAGCTGTGTGTTATATTAACAATGGCAAGAAAAAGAAACACTGTCCTCATGAAAACAAGTGTGCAGTAATCTTTGTGTAATCTCAACTTTTTCTGCATGAGCCTTCAAGCCTAGAGTCAACATACTTTACATAGACGATAAATGTTAAAGCAAGAGACAATGGAAGGAATTTCTGTACACTGGCCACCTGATTCTCCATGCAATATACATAGGCCTACATGTACAACAATAGAAGGAAAATATAATAACTTGAATAAGAATGAAATATGTCTTTTTACAAGCAACATAATTTATCAGTATTACTATTAGTTAGGCTTACAATGTTACATATTATCATACTTTATATATTATTGTACTTGTAGGTATTTCCACTGGAAATTACACTTTCCAGTACAACTTACGAATAGGTTAGTCCTAACCAAGACTCGGAGTAATATTTAGATTTAATACTAATTATTACGCCCAACGTAAAATAAACGTAAACGTTAACAATATTAACTATAACATTCGAGATTTATCGATGATAACCATATCGTCAATGTATAAGTTAAGACAAGAGTAACAAATTTAAAATTCAATGTCTCTGTACCAACGTTAGGCTAAACAGTATTTCACTATTTGTTAATTATTAAATAGTTATACTATTAGTAGTACTACAATATTAATAATTACATTTTAATATAGAATCACGATTAAATAATTTAAAGCTACGTAATCTTTTTTGCAGAAAAATCAAAGTAGCAGTTTAGCCTACGTTTCAGAATTCTTGCTACTGATGAGTCATTCTGTTATAATCCAGTTCAATTTTCGTTGAAACTAAACAAACTCTTCTGAGTCATACGACAGCCATTTTCTGAAATGTACACATACAGTGCTGACGTCACACGGCTATTTTGCAGTTGCAACTCATAAAAGTTTGTTTTGTAAGTTTACGTGAATAATACTAGTGATATGTAAAACACATTTTCTGCCTAAAACATTTAACAATATTCATTATTGCATTACATATTGGTTAATAATCTTGAAACAAGATGGTCTGCGCTTTCCAGAGTTGAAAATAAGATAAAACTGATAAAGAGAATATCAAAAATATATTTCTATGTTCTATTCGCCACGTGAAGTCGAGCCCTGTATTTTAGCGATGCAAATCTTTAAGCTTACCGCTAATTCACTGGTGGACTTCATCATAACATTGCTTTTTTGAATAGATGCAGCAATCGTTGAACAATATATATGCTATCGATTAAATAAAACATTTTATAAGTCATTTATTTGTGTTCAAACGCAAAGTTCACGATGCACTATCTGTGCTGTGCCCCCGTGAGTAACGGGCCTAAAATGTTTGCGTTTGAAGGAGTAGAGAAGGCAAAATAGATATCAAGTTTATAACATTTTTCAGCATAAAATGATAATCAAAGTGAAAGTTTCGACATTTAGCATTGTTACGACCAATACTTCAAATGAAACCATCTTTCGAATTAATTAATTTGGATGCAAATGGTTTTAACTATACTCACAAATAAAGATTTTTATTAGGACTAGTTTCGGCCAAGACCTGGATCACTTAACTGACACCTGATGTGAAAGTTTTTAGGGTGACAAAGCTTATTAACTTTTAAAAAATATCTTAAAATGTCCTCAGGTATCCTCAGAAGAACAATACGTTGTTTAAATGCCATGAGGAGAGCTTGTTTTATGGCTGTCATCTTCATCCTTGTGCTGCTTGGATGTTCCGCCTGTCTGTCTGGCTAGCAGTCATTTCAATGTAATTAATTATACGAAATAATTAAACATCGGGGGTGGTCGAAGATTAATCAATCCTCCTTCGCCACGATCGAGGATTAGGAGAAAAATAACTTGTAAGTAGAAAGGGCTTAAGTGGTTGGATAAATAATAAAAATGGGTTTGTGAAGCATAGAGACTGATCAATTCTAACAAACGGCCGATGTAGGACTTAAGTTCCTTCAGGGCGGCGGGGATCTAAAACTCCTATGCCAAGAATTTGATGTGGGGCGTTACTGAGAAAACCCACTTTTACTGGTAAGGCGCCAATCCATTACCAGTGCCGGGTTAAGAAGAAGTGGGGGCAAGTAGAGTGATAGGCGTGACTGTAGGCTATTTATTGAAATTTAGAGTCTTTTGTCATTCGTCGGATGTTGTTTAGGAAGTTGCCCCTGTTGAAAAGGGGTTTGGTTTGGGGCGAATCATCTGGGATAAAGCAATAGGGCTAAAAATGTTGGTCAGGCGCCGAATAATCTATCTGACCAGTGCCCAAAGCTGAAAAAGAAATTTCTTTCAGTTACTTGGTGAGTGTTTTATGTGTTTTCTAGGATGTTTATGTAATTGAATGGTGATATGTATGTGTTCCAAGTTTCTGGTGTTAGAGTTAATTGTTTGAACTGTTTGGTCTGTGTGTTCCTGTTTTTGGCTATTCTGTAAAATTTCGTGGCAAGTTGTGTAAAGCGATCTTTGATTGTTGGTAACTTGATAATGCTGTGTAGGTATTCTTGAGGTGTGTAGCTCAGCAGTCTGTGTGCAATTTTAATTGCTCTGTTTTGTAAAATTTGTAGTTTCTTGTATTGGTTATCTGACATGTTACTGGACTTCCGTATTCCATGAGTGGCCTGATAATTGCTCGGTAGATTGTTATGATTGATTTAGGTGAACATCCTTTGTTTGTTACGGCTATTTTGTTTAGGTATTTTACTCTGACATTTACTCTTTTTGTAATGTCCTTGAAATGCGTGTTCCATGTTAAATTTGAAGTGAAGTTTATTCCTAGAAATTTAACTTTATTCGTGAAATGGCGCGTATCATTGAACCCAACAAAGACACAAGCCATTGCATTTCACAAAAAAATAAACAAATCAAGGAAAAAATTCAATAATCTCAAGTTAAAACTTAATGACGCGAGTTGCACCACTTGGAAACAGAGTCCAGTGCGCGTTGGACTCTGTTCGAGGCTGTACCAGGGTTGCTCGAAATGGCGATGTCGTCCGCGTATCGTGATGTTGATGTGTATGTTTGTTCAGGGAACGGGATGTCGTTAACAAATGTGTTGTGTGTTGGACTGAGTACCGAACCCTGTGGGACTCCTGCAGAGAATCCTAAACTAGTCGAGAATGAATCGTTAATTTTTACCCTGGCAGTTCGATGATTTAGGCAACTTGAGATCCATCTTAGTAATGTTATAGGTACTTTTAGTGAGTGTAGTTTGTATCTTAGTCCATCGTGCCATACTGAATCGAAGGCTTTTTGAATGTCTAGGAATGTGGCTATTGTTGTTTGTTTTCTGTTGTATCCGCTGTAAATTGATTCTGTTAATCTTACTAGATGATCGGTTGTCTGTCTATGTTTTCTGCCAGAATTCTGATTCTCATTAATTAAGTTATTTGCTTCAAGGAAACAGTTAAGTCTTTTTGTTATTATTTTTCCATGAGTTTATCTAACGTGTTCAATAAGCTAATTGGTCTGAAGTTTTTGGGATCGGATAGGTCATTGTCTTTTTTAGGTATGACTCTAATAATTGCATGTTTCCATGCTTTAGGGTAATAGCCAGCTTGTAGTGAGATATTGTAGATGTCTGCGAGGTGTTAGCCAGCTTGTAGTGAGATGTTGCAGATGTCTGCGAGGTGTTAGCCAGCTTGTAGTGAGATGTTGTAGATGTCTGTGAGGTGTTAGCCAGCTTGTAGTGAGATGTTGCAGATGTCTGCGAGGTGTTAGCCAGCTTGTAGTGAGATGTTGCAGATGTCTGCGAGGTGTTAGCCAGCTTGTAGTGAGATGTTGTAGATGTCTGCGAGGTGTTTGATTACAGTGTCGTTTAGGTTCTTTAGGATTGTGTTGCTGATTTGGTCATCCCCAGGGGCTTTTCTTTTGACGGACTTGAGTGTCTGTTTGATTTCTGTTACTGATATGGGTCTTGAGTAGAAGTCTTTGGTTGTTTTGTGTTTTGTTTTATCTAGTTGTACTGGAAAAGTTGGGTTAAATGTTTCCTTGTTGTTGCTAATGTAGTTCTTGATTTTTGTGAAGTGGTCTCTACTGAATGTGTCTAGATCAGGGGTGATAAACGTGTCTTTGTAGTATTGTGCGAATATTTCTGTTTGTTCAATGTCTGAAGTGGCTGTAATGTTCTTGTAGTGTAACGTGTTTGTGCTGCTTGAGTCTTGGGTTTTCGTTATGTTTTTAAACTTCATCCAGAAAGTGCTTGGATCATTGAAGTTTGGGTCGATACTTTTACAGTATTGGTTCCAATTGTTTCGTTGTTGTTCGCGGATTAATTTCTTGATGTTATTATTTAAATTAGTCGTGGATTTCCGGAGCTTCTTAATTGAAGAGGAGAGATGAAAGGGGTAGGTGTGCGTGGCTGGTTATTGGTTGGGAGTGGATGACTGAATCGAGGGAGGGGTGTTTTACGGCGTGTTTTTTCCGCTTTAAAGTGGAAGAAGTAATACGAAACTCCGTTGTTGAGGATGGTTTCTGCGATGTATTTAGATGTCGTCTGTTGTTGAGGGTGGTTTCTGCGATGTATTTAGATGTCGTCTGTTGTTGAGGATGGTTTCTGCGATGTATTTAGATGTCGTCTGTTGTTGAGGATGGTTTCTGCGATGTATCTAGATGTCATGTGTTGTTGAGGATGTTTTCTGCGATGTATCTAGATGTCGTCTGTTGTTGAGGATGTTTTCTGCGATGTATTTAGATGTCGTCTGTTGTTTAGGATGGTTTCTGCGATGTATTTAGATGTCGTCTGTTGTTGAGGATGTTTTCTGCGATGTATTTAGATGTCGTCTGTTGTTTAGGATGGTTTCTGCGATGTATTTAGATGTCGTCTGTTGTTGAGGATGTTTTCTGCGATGTATTTAGATGTCGTCTGTTGTTTAGGATGGTTTCTGCGATGTATTTAGATGTCGTCTGTTGTTGAGGATGGTTTCTGCGATTATTTAGATGTTGCTACGATTTTGATGAACTTCCTCGGTAGACCTGTAGATTTTGCGCGGATTCTATGGACGGCATGGAGCTTGGTTTTGTATTTAGTTTCGATTGTGTTACGGATTTCGTCAGTGGTGATTGAAGGGTAGACGCCTCTTAGAGATACCGATAGTAGATTACTATAGCTTCGTGGGGTGGGACAGAGTTCCATGGGTTGCACAGATATTTAAAATTGGATCCGGTTTAGGGTTGCAGGAAGATGTTGCCTCTGCGTAAAAATTCTGGTTTTGGTTGCGTCGTTTTCGTTTCGTTTTTCCTGGCAGTTATTTTGATTTAAAAATAATTATTTCCTAAGAAATAATTACTAATCAAGGGTGCTCGAAGATTAAACAATCCTCCTTCATCCTGCTCGTGGCATAAGGTTACATTTCAATTAGTGGTCAGCGGAGTAATGAGCCGTATGGATGAAGGGGTAATAGTAGTAACTAATAATTTGATCAATAGGATAAATAAATAAATAATTAATAAAAAAAAATTAAATATATATATATATATATATATATATTGGAAGGTCGTATGAAAGTGAGGCAAGTAGGCAGTAGTGAAGGCA